GAAGCTAGCGATTTTTACAGTCTTACAAACCTTTCGTGGTAAGGGGCATACCGGGTGAGCGCTGCATTTGGGGGTATTTCTAGAGGAATTATACTTTTGGTAACATATAAGACATAACTATGATTGATATATTCTTCAACAAATCGTCAAACCATACGTGCACATGCAAAAAGTCAAGAGGGAAGATGCGTTATGCCCTACTAATGCTGACCTGTTTACTGTTGAAAGATTACAGTTTGGTAGATGAGAGAAGATCGCAAAAAGAGCTTGGGACAACGAATTTTGGTTTCCGCTGTCATCAGATGGCTATAGGATGAAATATAAAAAGGAGAAAAAACAGCGACACGCAAACCTTACCCCAGCCCTTGCCGAGAGGTCTTCTTAAGTATCCAGTTCAGCACCGGCAGGGGTAAAGGAAGGGTTAGGGTGGATGTGTTGCCTACTTTTTCCTCCTTTGTCTTTCCCTCTCCACCCGCCTGATGACGGCGAACGTCAAAAATGCATGCTCCCACCTCTTTTTCTATTTACACTCATCTACCAAACTACAGATTTCCAACAGCAAACGGGTCAGTGACATTAGAGCTAAGGCATTCTATTTACTATCGAGCAAAATGGCTTGCCTCAGTGTGGTGGCCCGAGAGCTTTGTATGAACTATTGCGTTTCGTAATACTGCAGGAGAGATGCAGTTCGCACTGGTGAAACAAAATCACAATGGACATTGAACAATGGGTCTCTCTGGGTGAACAAGTTTGGTAACTAGAACGCTAATCACGGAAAATGAATCCGAGGAAGTCAAAAAATATTTAGACACTTAATGTTCATGGGGTCGTTAAATGGAACCACAAACACGCGGCTCAAATATGCTGAATTCAGCGCGGACTGAGAAAAAGCCTAATGTAAAAAGTATAGCAAAAAAAAGGCGACGAACCAAAATGCGAATGGGATAAAGTCGATCAGGAACCGGGAACGGCGGTCGATCTGCTGGGAGTATTCTGCTAGCCGCTACCTGTGCCCATGAAAAGTCCCCCTTTAGTTTTTTTCTTGGACAGTTGCGAGCAATACAGGCGCCCACGGCAGGAGGCGGCGCAGAACGGTAACGCCCGCTGGAAATGACGGCTTTCCCTTAGTCCTGGTGCTGGACAGACCTGGAGTGCCTGGCTCGCAATGTTTGCCCCTGGTTCCAACTTCCCCCTTCTGAAATCGATATATCGGGTCTTTATTTCCGGCAAGTTACTTTAAAGACCCAACTCTCTGAGTCCTGGGTCATGTTGGCTGTTTAGCAACACAGCTTCCTGGTTTCTGGTCCTAACCGGTTCTTCTACAAATAGCAATTGGAGCTTCTGGCTCCCACTGATTCATTCACAAATAACAGAACTGACATACTGCTACCCATTGGCTTTTCACAGACGCCAGACCTTGGTTCGCTGGATCCAATAAGCTCTTTTACAACGGCAGGCCCCGGTTCCTGGTTCCCACTGGTGTTTTGGCTCCCATTGGTGAGCTGGTTGGCATTTTTAAAATCGCTGTGGAGTTTTATCCCTTTGCATTCTTTTTGTATTCAACTGATATCGTTATCGACCTTTATCTCTGTCGACTTTTTGTCTCGCGACTTTTGTCTTTGGAATTTTTCTGTTCGACTGTTTCCATGCCCTTTTTTTCTTGCTTATCTATGCACACAATGTCAGAAAATCAGGGAACGGGGCGGCGTCTCCCATGGGGAATACGACCACTCTGTATATCAAGTACACTTCAAGACAGACGATTCTGATATAAATAAAATTGCGTTCTATTGTTTTTATTTCCTCTATTTGTGCTGTCCACACGTTACCAAGACTGGCCGTGCTCGTGCTATGAACTATATGTGCACTTTCATTACATTTTAAATGGAGCGATAAACCTTTGACAGGGTGGTCTTAGCTATTCGTTACCACGAATGTCTGTAGATAGGTGTAAGACTGAACAACTGGGCATGAGTTGGCACGAGCCACGAATTTTGTTCGCCTTCTAACCCACGCCTACGCGCTCCAGTGCAGCCTTCTATCTTTTCCTTCTGCTTCTGGCTCCCCCTAAGAACAGAAATACAAGTCCCGACCCCCCTACTTCCGAGACCCTGACTGCGCTTCTGCCTGCGCTCCACCCGGAAATACCCGACATCCTGTGCCAGCCGCGCCGGATCCATGATGTGTGACGTCATCTCCGGTGGCTGCGTGACGTCATCGTCTTCGGGAATGGGCCGACTTGTCTCGGCCAACTCCCACTGTTCGGCTCGGCGTCGATTCTGCGGGTGAGGTCAAGGTCAAACGGTGCTGTCTCACTGTTCAGTGTCAATAGATACTACCGGGAGGGTTGAGGGTCAGACTATTGTGCCAGCAGAGGCTAAGGTCAGACAACGCTGCCGACAAAGGTCACGGACGGATTGTGATGGTAGACACCGGGCGAAGCCCATTGAAACTGCATCCGAGTTCAGCACCAAGCGGTGCTTTCTCACAGGTCAAGAGGTCAAGAACAAAAAATTATGCACCAGAGGTAAAAAATGGGCAGAATATGCACAAACAGTTCTGTGCGAGAGATCTTAAGCAAGCAGCTGTTTGCATCAGGGGTAAAAAAACAAGCAATTTAACGTCAAAGGTCAAGCTCAAATGGTGCACAGACACGATAGAGGATGAGTTGAATCTGCGCTGCCTCCGAGGTGAAGGGTTCCTGACATTGCTTGTGACGGCAGTGACACTGTTGCGAAAGATCAAGGACAGGATAAGGTTGTCGGATGAGAGAATCAACTCAGAAGCGTCGTTCTTTTAGATGTCCGCGGTGTTGCTCCTACCTTTCAATTAAGAAGTTCAGTTTCTGCAATCTCGTTGGCTACGACACGCTAAATTTTTGACTGGTGGCCTTACTTACTGTAACGTTACGTAAAGAGGAATGATCGCCTGGTGACGTTGATAAGCTGTACAGATGAGAGTCATGTGACCTTAACCCACAGCCTTCGTATGGCTTTGAGCATGCGACACACACGGGGTCATGACGACAACATTGCCTCGGGCTTCGAGGCGACCTCGAGACGGTCAGCTGGGTCATAGCTCTCTTACGTCCGTCCAAAGACGCCATCAGCCGCTCCGTCGTCGGGGCCGGATAATGGCTAATGCTCGGGGAACGGCCGGCCGCCGCAGCGGTGACTTGTTCCCGACATGGAAGTACCCAGGGTGGGGCGGATGCAGTGTAACTTCCTGGGAGTGTACGCCCACGATTTGAACCGATGAAAGGTCGAATAGACTCAGGGGTCGGGCCTGAAGGCTGTTTCTCTTCCGGGGTGGTTCACGCCTACGTGCCACCTCCCGCACTTGATTACCCTGGGCTCGCCCCTGCCCAGAGTCCCAGATTTAACAGCGGCCCATTCTCTGAATGGCCCTCACCAAGCACCGTTATTGGGCTCCCATGGCAAAAACGGCCGGGACGTTCGTCATCTGCAGCCGGCGGTGCGGGAGGCACCGGTCTGGCAGGGCAGCGACGCTGCCGGCGTCGCCGGTGAGCATGAGCAGACTATGTAGACTACCAGACTCAATACAGAGTACCAGACTCGATATAGATCACCAGAATTTACAAAGAGCACCAGACTCTATACAGAGTACCAGGCTCTACACAGGGTACCAGACTCTACATAGAGTACCAGACATAGAGTACGCTCTCCAGCTTCAGCGGTCTCTGTGAGATAGAGCACACAGGCTAGCTTTGGTGGTCTTTGCAAGAAACCTTTGCTCGTGAAGGCAGGGTTGGAGAAAGCAAACGCTTACAAACTGTTGGGGTTGAGTCTTAATCTGAAGGCGCAGTTTGCCAAAGATGCCCTTGCGCTGAGAAGCATATGTCTTATAACGCGTGTATGCCTGTGGTTGGTTAACCGTTTTTCGTCCATTTTTGTGCTTGAGTTAATTTCTTTATTGGAATACAGCTATGTTTGCCATCGCCTGTGTGGTGGGCACGATAGAGCTGTCACCGCACCTTGGATTTAACGACGCAATCAAGTAATAAAAACAATGACCAATGAATATCGGTATGATGTTGGTACCTCGCACTGGACCGATAAAGATCCTTTGGTTAAGCACGCAGAGAAAAACTAGGCTTAAAAACAATCTTTGATCAAACGTGAAAACCTTCTGAAACCGGAGAGCGTCTGCCAAAATGAAACAGCATTTTTAAAAAAAAGATCTTGCTACAGGGCCAGAATATAACAAAAAGCTGCGCCTGGTTTTTGGTCACGTATGTCTCCAGAGTTCTGTCCATCTCTCACTTCAGCCGCTCGCGAAAACGCCGCGTTCCTGAGCCATCACTTCGCACCCAGCTCGGCTCCGGCCGCAGCGCGCCTGATAGGGTCGCGGTGCCCGCTCGTCTGCTGCTCATCCGTCGCGAGCGGCGACAACGCTCTCAGGGCAGGTCCGACGTACGACGGAGCGCTACGACTTGCTACGACATACGACGGGGCGCTACGACTTGCTGCCGTCGATCCAATCTAACGCTGCCCGGGGTGGTCGCGTCCAGCGCCAGCGTGGAGGAAGGAAAGTCCGCCGCCGCCGACGCACGCCGGGGAGCGCGATGTCAGGCACCGTACGCCACGCTGCCGGACGCTGTACCTGGCCTGAATAATGCGACTCGCAATGACTGCCCGGTCCGGCGGGAGTCGGGTGGAATTTGCAAAATGTCGTAACGTTTCGGCCCAGGGGGGAATTCGTCCGCGGTGGAAATGGTTTGCGTTCTGCCATGAAGTGATGGCGGCATCAGGCTTCACGGAGAGCTTTTAGGCAGTGATGCAGGACGTGGGAGAATAGGACGACGAGGGATTTAAGTTGCTGGCATGTGTGCAAACAGGTAAGCGCGCTGTAGCATGCATTTAGACGTGCTCAGCTAAAAAAGAAAGTTCTGAATCTCCTGGTGCTATTATAATCGGTATTTATCTCCACAACTTCGTTAAACCAGCACCTCTTGACATATTGAAGGTCGTTATCTCACAGAAGAACTTAGGATTCGTAATAGTTCAGCTGTATTTGGCGCAACGTTGGGATAGGCAGAGCTGTTCAACAACTGAGAAACTTCATTTCGCTTTACGTTCTAAGACGTAGGTCATGCTTCAAGAAGGATGCTGCTTGCTTCATAGAACCAACAACCATGGATTGCTGCGTTTTATGTTCAAGTCAGCACCAACACAATCCAAGCCAAAAGGTGTAACGAAAGAGCGTGCAATTGTGCGGATCATCTCGTTAAAAATTAATGCAATTCAAACCGTGATTACTTTTCTGAAAATGATATGAAATCCAAATCTTCTCCGACACCCAAACGCGCGATGCGAATGCATACAACTTACGAATCCCATTTGGTTTCCTGTTTCATTAATGGCAAAGGTGCCTGGAAACTTCCCGGAAGCTCCTGAAGACAGCAGCCGTCCGTATTCCACGGAAAGGCAATACACTCTGGCTTTATGACCGGGTTATGAGGAGATCAAGGCCAAAGCCGTGGTCTCACCTTTCTGCGCCTTCTGCTGAGGTAGGACGACACGCTGGAACGAACACGTGCAGATGCGGGTCAACGAAGACTCTCGCCGCTCACAGTCAGGTCAGGTTGTCACCTAGTCATGTGCAAAGAAGTAAGATGCGAACAGGTAGGCATATGCAAACGACTGAGATGCAAAAGAGTGAGATACAATCAAGTGTCATCGTTACAACTAAGTCAATGCAGACACATGCTAATGGGAAACACATTCACACCTAAGCTGGACTTTAACGAAGTTAAAAAAAAAACATCATCGAATGTCGGGGAAGCAGATATGTGGCTTACTTATCTCAATATTCTGAATAGCTGTTCTGCAGCATTCCTGCCCTAAAGCACATAAACACCGTCGCTTTATCCGGCAGCACTAATAAGCCAACCGTTGGGTTTTGAAAACCAGAAGACCGTTTTCGCAAGGATGTCCCAAACAACGCATCTATACGTTTGTGACGCCCACTTCTGATACAAGAGTCGCGTTTTACCACTGACTGGTTACACGACAGCCCATTCTTACCTCTTTGGTCCTCTGGGTCTTACTCGCTGCCACATAAATAAACACACCACTGTTAGACATTTTTCTTCCGAGTGATTTCCGATACATGTCGGCACGGTTTCTGTGGTCTACCGTAAACCTCAAGGCATTTACGCTGAACTGAGGCCATTGAAGATCATGAAAAGGCCTCACACCACAAACCTGACACGTCGTGACACACCTGACACACCTGACACACCTGACACATGTCTACTGACGACCAGCTGCGTCTCTGCAGCGTCGCTGACAGCACATGTTAGACAGTACAGACTAGACAGTACAGGCTAGACAGTACTAGCTAGACAGTACAGGCTAGACAGTACAGGCTAGACAGTACAGGCCAGACAGTACAGGCTAGACAGTACAGACTAGACAGTACAGGCTAGACAGTACAGACTGAACAGTACAGGCTAGATAGGACAGGCTAGACAGTACAGACTAGACAGTACAGACTAGACAGTACAGGCTAGTCAGTACAGGCTGGACAGTACAGGCTAGACAGTACAGGCTAGACAGTACAGGCTAGACAGTATAGGCTAGACAGTACAGGCCAGACAGTCCAGTCTAGACAGTACGGGCTAGACATTACAGGCTAGACAGTACAGGCTCACCCATGGCACGACGGAGCAAGGGATAACAAGAAACACTCTCCCAACACGGCGGGCAAAGGTCAAATCACCTCACCTCCGTCCAAGGTGCAGCCATTCCACCACTCTCGCACACCAATCTACCATATCACACAGCACCATCTGTCACCATACCTAACAATGTCATCTTTTTATCTCTCCTGTTTCACAAATCAGCGCTCGGATTTCGCTGGGAATGAGCTACCATGTGCGCTTCAGCGTCCGGCCGCGCCCCTGGCGGCTCCCGGCCTCTTCCCCGGCCTCTTCCCCGGTCGCTTCCCCGGCCGCGCCCTTGCCGGCCCCCGGCCGCTTCCCCGGCCGCCTCGCCGGCCGCGTCCCGGCCGCTTCCCCGGCCGCCTCGCCGGCCGCCTCCCCGGCCGCCTCCGCGCGTCGCACCGCGCCGGCCGTTTTCCGCCCCCCCCCCCCCCCTAGTGTTCCGCACCGGAGTGTTCGACCGCTGACGGCTGGCTTTACGCCACTCTCAGGTGCAAATCGGCAGAGAAGTGCTGGAGGCGGCGGCGCGCTGCCGGAAGATTACCAGCCCGGCTGCCAGAGACGCCAGAGAAAGTGGAGCTGGGGTCGAGTGCCTTGCGTTATGCCTTAATGCATTCGCCAGGAAAATGGAGTGGTTGACATGTTCCTCCACGTGTCGGCTCAGGTGTTAGTCTTTGACAGATGTTCACGATACAGCGCGGCGTGTGTCCTTGTCCGATCTGTGCTCGGTTATCCCGTCTCATTGCTTGCTCAATTTTCCTCTCCTTCTCACCTTTTAACTTTGGTGGCTCCCTCTATCTTTCCCCAGCTGTTTCTACCTAACTCACCGCCACTCTTTGTCTCGCTCTTTCTTTTGATCTTTTTATCACTCACAGGCTCAATTCTCTCTCTCTCTCTCTCTCTCTCTCTCTCTCTCTCTCTCTCTCTCTCTCTCTCTCTCTCTCTCTCTCTCTCTCTCTCTCCTCTCTCTCTCTCTCTCTCTCTCTCTCTCTCTCTCTCTCTTCTCTCTCTCTCTCTCTCTCTCTCTTCTCTCTCTCTCTCTCTCTCTCTCTCTCTCTCTCTCTCTCTCTCTCTCTCTCTCTCTCTCTCTCTTCTCTCTCTCTCTCTCTCTCTCTCTTCTCGCTCTCTCTCTCTCTCTCTTCTCTCTCTCTCTCTCTCTCTCTCTCTCTCTCTCTCTCGCTCTCTCTCTCGCTCTTCTCTCTCTCTCTCTTCTCTCTTCTCTCTCTCTCCTCTCTCTCTCTCTCTCTCTCTCTCTCTCTCTCTCTCTCTCTCTCTCTCTCTCTCTCTCTCTCTCTACTCCTCTCTCTTCTCTCTCTTCTCTCTCTCCTCTCTCTCTCTCTCTCTCTCTCTCTCTGCTCTCTCTCCTCTCTCTCTCTCTCTCTCTTTCTCTCTCTCTCTCTCTGTGGATTCTCTCTCTCTTCTCTCTTCTCCTCTTCTCTCTCTCTCTCGCTCTCTTCTCTCTCTCTCTCTCTCTCTCTCTCTCTCTTCTCTCCTCTCTCTCTCTCTCTTCTCTCTCTCCTCTCTCTCTCTCTCTCTCTCTCTCTCTTCTCTCCTCTCTCTCGCTCTCTCTCTCTCTCTCTCTCTCTCCTCTCTCTCTCTCTCTCTCTCTCTCTCTCTCTCTCTCTCTCTCTCTCTCTCTCTCTCTCTCTCTCTCTCTCTCTCTCTCTCTGGATTTCATCCGTTTCTCCTCGCTATTTTCCTGCTACTCACCAGCTGCTCCTCGTCGAACAGCGGCTGCCTGTCCGTCGGCTGGCTGTCAAATACGCATTGACATGGTCATTGAGGCAGTGGGGGAGCAGGTGCGCCCCCTCCCCCACTCCATCCCAAGCGCACATACCAGCCCAGACACAGGACTCTGGGAGGCCACACGCCACAGCGGCTGGCATGGACCAGACCAGACTAATCACAAACACTACACCTGCTCACAAACACCACACCTGCTCACCAACATTACACCTGCTCACAAACACTGCATCTGCTCACAAACACTATACCTGTTCACAAACACTACACCTGCTCACAAACACTGCACCTGCTCACAAACTCTACAGCGGCTCACAAACACTACAATTGCTCAGCCAACCCTGGGATATTCTACTCTTTCAAGTGTTGATGGTGGTTACGTGTGCATAACGATGATCATACTGATTCTGATCAAAATGGCTATCATGACGACCACTTCAGGCATAACTAACATTACTATAGCCTGCTTTCAATAGCAGCATATTATGGTAAACCATATCGAAACCGAATTGAACAGCTGGAGCGGGAGTAGGTCAGGGCGGTCAGTAGATGATCGGAGTGACGTCATTTGCGCGGATCGGCCGTCCGAGAGCACTCTCCACAATTTTGGGTCCAGATCCACCAGCGGGGTGGGAGTCACTCTCTCCAGACCTGCAGAAAGCCCTCTTCTCCTCCCAGACAGCCTCTCCCAATCGACCATGGCCCACATGGCCCACATGGCCCACACATCTCTATGGCCAACGCACCTCCATGGCCTACGCATCTCCATGACCCAAGCATCTCCATGACCCACGCATCTCCCTGGCCCATGCATGGCCCACATGCACCCACGCACCTCCATGGCCCACGCACCTCCATGGCCCACGCATCTCCATGATCCAAGCACCTCCATGACCCACGCACCTCCATGGCCCACGCATCTCCATGATCCAAGCACCTCCATGACCCACGTATACTCATGGCGCAAACATCTCCATGGCCCACGCACCTCCATGGCTCACACATCTCCATGGCCCATGCATCTCCATGGCCCATGCACCTCCATGGCCCACACATCCCCATGACCCACACATTCCCATGGACCACACATCTCCATGACCCATGAATCTCCATGACTCAGGCCCCTCCATGACCCACACATCTCCATGACCCACACATCTCCATGACTCAGGCCCCTCCATGGCCCACACACCTCCATGGCCCACACATCTCCATGACCCACACATCTCCATGACCCACACATCTCCATGCCGGGACGGTGACCGGGCCCAGCTTGCGGCCGCTCAGGCGTCGCATTAGCCGCCCCAGACCAGGTAAATCTAGTTAGGCGATCCCGCGAGGCATCAGAGCCAGCTCATTCGGTGAGCTGTACTGGACAGAAAGCTCGCGGATTATGGGATGTGCGCGGCATACGCATCAGGCATGCGCTGGCGCAGGCGGAGATTACGTGAGTTGGTAAGTGCATTTGCGAGAAAAATTATGCACATAGATAATAAGACAGTAGAAATAGCCTTGTTCCTCGGAAGAATACCAGGGGGATGAAGATTTAGATGCGTTGATATTTTGGCAGCATGCCTTTATAGAAACGAGTAGCGAAAGTTCTTCTGCTATTCGTTTCGACAAAGACATGTTGCCGAACATCAACGCATACATATCTCCATTCTCCTGGCTTTTTCTGCGATATATAAGTCGGCTACTACTGTCTTATAGGTGGAGATTTATTGTATGGTCATCCCTCGCAACAGGACCCAGCCATGAGACGAAATGGGTAGGCATGATGGATGCACAAACCACCAAAATAGTTGATCGTCTAAACCATGTTTAAAGCAATTCTTTTCCTGTGCTCACACAGGGTAAATACTTGATGTATCAGGAAAGTGGGAGCCCCAAGGCCAATTGATGTTCCTGTTCCCACGCTTATGATCAACATCATGGGTGTAGCTACGGCTTTGATGCTTGGGAAACAAATCAGGATAAAGGAGTCAGACTGGAATGTGAGAAGCAAACTTGACCTATGCCTGTGCAACCTGTAAATTATATTTTGAGGAAGAACGCAAAACGTTGAGGAAGTTGAGGAACGTTGAGGAAGAACGTAAAAACGTGCATTGAAGGGCGTTAGCCAGACATTCAACCCCCCCCCCCCCCCCCTCTCTCCCGGAGGTTACACTCATGATGAACACTAGCGTGCAAATCTCACAGCGCGTCCTCTGCGCTGGTATACTGTGCCGCATGACCGGAACTCTCCCGAGCGCCTCTAGCTCGGCCTTTTCACTGCGGAGATATACTGTACCGCGCAGCACGCCACGACGGTAGTCTGCTCTTCTCCCTCCATGTACCGCTGCCACGTACACGCTCCGGTACGACCAGCCAGGGGACGTGGGGTCTCGCGCGTCGCCCGTTCTGCGGCTCACGCTAACTAGCGAGCGGGCCCCGCAGCCAACGCCGAAGTGGGCGTTGACGGCGCCGACTTCGTGCAGCACCCACACCGCCTTAAGGCATTGCATCCTGCCCCGACAACCCAGACACTCAAACCCGACAACAAAGCACTAAAACCTCCGACGCTGGCAGCATAAGCTGTGTTGAAGTAGAAATGAGGGAGTCTGCTGTTCGCCTTATGTGAACCAAGTAATTTGAGTGCTTTAGCAGGAGCATCTGCAGCCATTGAGGATGCTAAATCAGAATCTGGCTAGGCTTTACATGCTGCCCGTGCCTTTTGCTGGCGCAGAAATTGTTGCAAAACTGGTTTCAACAAAAGTCGCGCGGCGCATCTGCCTTCTTGAAGAAGCTGTTGCTGAAAGCCCTGCGTGTTTGTCTGGGCCACTGCTCACGGAGTTATGAAAGAAGTACTATCGCGTCTCGCAGCTATCTAAATCGAGCAGTTTTTAAAATTATTCAGGCATCTTTGAATACGGCACTTGTAAAGATACTGCCATATTCAAACCAGCGCGAATGAAATGGCAGACGCGGACTGGCAGATGAAATCCGACGCTTCTCTCGCAAACCCTCAGCTCAGAATTCACATTTCGCCGGGAAGCAGACGAGTTTTAGGGAGCCTTTTAGTTAGTGTCTGTGTCACGCATTGCGACCAGATACCGTTTTCAGGCTAGATGGCCTTGTGCGCAACCAACCTAAGAGTTTGAGAGTTCACTGATTGCAGCAAAGTTCTGCTTGTGACACACGTTGAAAGCGGATATAATTGCTCGAGAAACTACTGCCAGGGTTCCACGGATCGGGAGCGTTTCAAGCGGCCGGCGAACGCCGCGTCGATTACACTCGGGCAAAAATACCTCGCCGTGCAAAATGCGATGCTAAGTGCTCCATAGAATTCCCAGCTCTCGTCTGATGAAACATACCTCGCAGCTTCACACAAACACACCAAGGTGGTAGTGTCGTGTGGAAATGCCAGGATGAAAGGACATTTAGGCTCGGCGACTTATGTGAGTTGCACGCTGCTTTTGTGATGGGAGAGACTAAAAAGCGATCGTGCTTTCCGTCCGTGGCTCCTGAAGTATTTTGTGCAGACTGTGGGAATGTAGTAACCTAGTAACCCCTTGTTACACACATCCTCTTTATTTAGTTTGCAAATCGCTGTATGATCTCTGCAGCTGCAGAAAATAATTCAGCGTGGCTTTTTTTGTCCTGCTGTTCTGCTTTGCTTCTTGTGATATTGTGCCTCGGACAGAAATGTCATATGAATAGAAAATTGCCATTATGGCCTGCACGGTGGATCCGGAGTGTTATTCGGCTGATGCTAGTGTTCAGCAGCTTAGACTTGCTGTTGTGTCGTGCAGTACAATATTTTTGTGGAAGCAATGAAACACAAACATGGAAGTACTAATATCTATCGCACCATTGAGGCTTTACGTAGCGCTCAGTCGCTGAGACTATATGGTATGGTCTACCTCTCACCTTAGCAGCAAGAATGGACACAGCGGGGAATCGAACCCCTTACCTCCGGTTTTCCAAAAGCTTAGCCTAACTGCTTCACTATCGGTGCATAATTCCCGGCATACATTCATGGCATGCATCTGATTGTTGATTCTGAGATCAGACAAAGCCACATGGCTTGCAACTATAAAGCAGTGCTGGGTGGTCGTTGTCAAAACTCGAATGCGCCACCTCCACGGCTACCCTCCACTCCCCGTTCCGTGCACGGGGGCGTCTTGCTGGCACGCTCAGATTGGAAACGGAGCACTACGCCACCTCACGCCACGTGCCTCGGTGCACGTGGTCAGTCCTCGACCCGCCTAAACATTCTGAAGACGCCTCGGCAGCGGCGGATTTATTCCGGCACGCCAGCTGGCGGTGCATCAGCTGACTCCGCGCCGGGCTTGAGCAACAGGCGAGCCGCACAAAGGGCAGCGCGCGGCCCGAGCAGATCAGAGGCGCCGCCGGGTCACCCGGGCGGCATACATCAGAGACGCGCGGCTGGACGCGGCGGCACGTGACCGATCACCCGACCGGGGTCACCGGGGCGGTGCTGGCGGTTTTCCTTTCATGTGACTCGTCGGCGCGGGTTATAGATTGGGCTGAGTAGGGGGAGGGGGAGGGGAGGGCGTTGTCGCCACACGTTCTATTGAGTCCCAGGTCGCGCGCCGGGCGGCGTCTTTACGGTGTTGACGCTAGGTCCGGTCACGAGGTGAGTCGGGTCAAGATCAGAGCCGGTTACGACCCCGGCTGGTGTTGGGGATGGGTGCTGGGCTGGCGCCTCTGTCGGTGCTGACGCTAGACTCCCACACCCGAGCTTCGATGGCTTTCATCAATTATTAGTGCAGTGGTGCTGAACATTTGGAGCGCAGGGAAAGGGGGCATTTCCTGATTTACAGGTTAATTAGCAGAAAGTAAGAAGTGGTCGGAAAGAAGGAAGACCTTGGCTGTGGATGAGTTGAACAAATATATCAAATCGAGCTAGCCACTGGCCAGTCTCCGCTTTTCTTTCACACTACTGACTAGAACACCACTCATACGCATGGGCGATAGCCATTACGCACAAATTGAGGATCAGCGGCCAGATCGGCCAGAGCAGATCGTCTTACGCGCGACTTATTACTCTTGCGCTGATATACCACTTGTGGCCCTTGATTTAGTTAACCCGAGGTATGGGGGTGTACCGGGCCAATATGTAAGCTTCAAGACGACACGTCCCAGCATGCGTGATGTCACAAACAAGTCAGCATAAACAGAACACGATCAGATTTTGTTGTTGTTGAAAAGTACGGCAGATACACCACGAAGGCAACCATTCGACACAGTCCTCCAAGGAACAGCACATTCATGAAACAACGTCCCTCTTTCAGCGACTTGCATGCCCTACCTTATCCTGATCACTTCTGATATTTACTCCACCCAGCCCTGCTCCAGCCCACCTTGTCCTGTCCTCCCCAGACCTACCTGTCCCGTGCCACCTTACACCATCTTAAGCCTGCCCTCTCGTCCCACGCTCCGCACTGCCCCACCCAGCCCTGCCCTGCCCTGTCCCGCCCCGCCCTGTTCTGACCTGTCAGCGCCGAAGCAGGCGGCCGCCCGTCCCATGCAGCCGCCCATGACCCCTGGCGCCCACAGGCCCCATGTTCACATCGCAGCGGCCCGTACAGCACTCGCGGCCGGCGCCGCCGACGCCGCGCGACACTAGCGCCCCTGGCGGCCGACCGACACGGCAATCAATACACGCGGCGCGTGCGAGTCCGACGCCTGAGGGCGGGGTCGGGTCACGCAGGGTCAGGCTGGGGATGGGGGTGTGGAGGAGATCAGGGCTCGCTTCGCGTGCCAAGCGGGGCTTTGTAAAGTGTTGCAAGCCGCGTAATCTTGTCGGCGATCAGCTGTATGGGTTCAGGGGATTAGCCATTTAAGCGAACCAATAAAGATGCGTCCACGACACGCTGGTCAATATCACCGACAAAGCTGTTGTCCAATTCCGCTGCAGCATGTTGTGTGTAACATGTTGTGTATAACATGATGCAAGCCTAATGAGGCGTGTAGGTCCTCCTCCTCGTGCCAGACACAGCTCTGCTCAAGAGATATATTCAAAAGTCTGGTGGGGTGCACTAACACTAGCACCGTCGCCCCCCGGTGACGTTCACGAGCTTACCAGTGGGCTTACAGCCTGGAAATGTCAGTAGGTGCTCTATCGTGAGGGATGAGGGGGCCACACGCCTATCATCGGTGACATCGGTGACAGTTTATCGATGCGTTTTCCATGTCCACCGAAAAGCAGTGATACAACAATGCACAACTTTTGCAATGTCTCAAGTTTTTCCGCGGCGAGCAAAGCAAATAAACTGTGTGGCCTAGACAGCTTCGAAAGTTATGGGGGTTGAGCCCCACTAGCTCGATAAACAACAAAAACAAACGAAAACACATCGTAACTTAAAGTTTGCGTTGCTCCAAGCTTGCGAGGCTCAAAGCTGAAAACCTGGCTGCTCAAATATTTGTTCATATTTATTTTATTATATATCATTATTTGTATAGTATATTATATATATATATGTATATATATATATATATATATATATATATATATGTATATATTATACATATAGTATATCAATAATATTTGAAGGTTGAGAGACAGCTGATTAAGGTACGCGCAAGCCTCCGACTTTTTATGACATAATAGGAGCATTTGACACACATGTGAGCTGGGAGTAATGACATGATGTTCGGTCGCGCCGTTGCACAGCCCTCTATGTCTCAGTGCCTTGCAGGCCTAGGATGCTCTTTTTTTGTCGCGAATCCAAGTTGCCTATGCTTCGCTATATTTCCTGCCTCTTCGGCTACAAACGGACTGCTAAAGTACCGGTTCTATGCTTTACCAGCACCTCATAGCAATATTATCAAAATTGGCTTATTTGCTTCAGTTCATAGGGACACCGTGCCCTGTCATCAATCACGTTCGCCTGTGGCATTTGCTATGCTAGCACCTTCTTCACATACGGAAGCCGTAGTGATAGTTTGTTACCTGCGGCATTATCTGGCATTGCATTCACCTGTAACGGCACAGCATTCACATTTACTGGCACAATACTACCAGAACACCTCCCGCAGTTGACATTGGCAGACTTCGCAGGCCTGGAGGCATGTTCTGGGCAGTCATGGCGACACTTGATCCTCACACGGCAGGCGGCCGGTCTCACGGCGACACGTGATGCTCACACGGTCGGCAGGCGGCCGGTCTCATGGTGACACGTGACCCTCACACAGTCGGCAGGGGGTCTCATGGTGACACGTGATCCTCACACAGTCGGCAGGCGGTCTCATGGCGACACGTGATCTCCACACAGTCGGCGGCCGGTCTCATGGTGACCCGTGACCCTCACACGGCAGGCGGCCGGTCTCACGATTTATGCGTTGTCATATCGCTTCATTTTACGAAATACCCAGTGTACAATAACTAGCATATAATAAAACCGTGCTCAAGAATTATACCGTTATTCAGAAGTGGCAACGCCATCAACTTAAGATATATCTGGCTCGGAGTGCCTGTCAGCAACAAGCTGTAAGCTGTGTAGAATACCCGAACACTAATACACAGACCTTCTGTCGAATGGTCCGCAACTATTCAATAGCATGGAAAGTCTGTGAAACGGATTTGTGTCGCATGCAACGTACCTGAGAGCAACGTACCTGCAACGTACCTGCAACGTACTCCGTCCGAACGTGTTCACCTTAAAAAGCTTATGGACAAAGTCGCAACCAATCTACACAGTCACATCCATAACTTTCGACGCACCCCACGCCCAATCACGTTTTACGCCTCACTAACCAATGCTACAACAAATGAAACTCTCTGCGACACGCAGCTGTGACATAAACTAAGCCATCGACGCTGCTGACTGGTCAGGCTTGGGTCTGGCCAGCTCTTCCCTTCTCTTCCGTCGCACAAGCAGCGCGATAGCTTCAGACAGTCATCAGTTGGGCCAGAGACGCGTCGCCGACGGCTGTGTGAATTTCGGGACGAAAATAGGCCCGGCCTGGGGTGATTCGTGGCAGCGGTTATGGTGGATTGGCTCGCGCTGTCATTAGAGTGAGCCCGATTAGCATTGCAGATGGCGCCACTGTTCGGGACATCTCTGCCGCAGATATCTAGCGATATCTGGGGCAGGGATGACGTAGACATAGGAAGACATAGGAAGCACCGTTCGAGCATTGGAGTTCATGCGTTCTGGCTTCCACAACACTTACACAAACGTGTTTACCGCGTTCCATGAAGCATTGTCGGGTGCTGTGCCTAGGCAGCGCTGTCATCTTTCAATAGAATCCCCATGTTTGCGTGCCAAGGGAGCAATTTTGTTAAATCAAACGAGGCGTTAAACGGGCTTCATACGGCTATTGACGAAGCCCGGCCGTAAAACGAGATTTCCCACCGGATTTGGCTTATGTCATAATCAGGTCAAAGGGATTGGTCGCAAAGTTGATCGGGGAGACATAGCATAGCGTGTTGGGGAAGAGCTACGGTCGCCCAAATTTGGAAGCAGCTGCCACTCTGCACCATATACACTCAGGCCAACTTCTCTCTCCAAACATTCTGGTCATTTAGATTACTGCAACATCAGGCCTTGTATCAGTGAGGACTTAGCGCTTACAGAAATATGGGGCATGGTATGCTATGATAAAGTTTTTAATTACCGCAAGCATTGACAACCGCCAAGCACGGACACGCGCATGCGCCGAAGCAGCAGCTGGCTGGTGACGTACCGTGCGAGGAGCACGAGGTATATATATAGATGAACAAATGCATTTTATTTAGGTTCCTTCATAACGTAGCTCTTCCGGCACCCACGCCGCATATCTTGGTCACGAAAGTAAAAACACATGGACGTTACACAAATTGATAAAAGGGTCTATTACACAGACGTTACCTTTCAACCCGACAGCCAGCCGGCATCTGACCCACCAGAAACCCCGGGCTTTCGGGTGGGCTGTGGGTCTGATTTGACAGGCAAAATAGTGCATTTTTACTTGTACTGAAGTTTTAAAACCTTAAAAAAACAGGGTGTGTTGCCAAACGCAATACAAGCATGTACAAGTCATATGTATATTTTTATAGCAAGGGCCACAGCGACAGAAAACCTTTGGCAGGCAAGATACGCAAGTAAACCAGAATGCACAATTTGAACAGCTTTAAGCAAGCAGCTCACCAAAAAACTCAAGAATAGTAATCCAGATTTTCACAGCTTGGCCTCATGGTATTAATCAGAAGTTAGGTGGTCACAGATATAAAAACAGCTTCACGCTGAGCTTGGCTGTTTTTTGTAAAGGTTAGGTGCACTTCACTTTCTTGTTTCATGCACAAACCCTACCTCACAATAAATATCCATTTTTCTTCAAATGAATAGTAGCCTTGCGTGACGTTATTGCGCTGACGCCGCCTACTTGGACTACTGCTCGTAGTTACTGGTCACTGGTGTGCGCAAAAAATGGTGAAATTGAAATAGGAGCGAAAAATATTTTGTCTCTTTACACCTGAAGAGCATACAACTAACGATCAAGATGTATGGGGCTCTAACGCACAACATATTTCACCCTTACTGCGACTGCCATTACTTTTCAACACATCCGTCTTACTGACATTTTTCGTTTGTTCGCTTTTGCACTCTCTTTCAACATTGGTATCTGTACACAGGCCTGAGTGAAAAACTCACCATAAAGATATGACGTCAATGAAACATTTGATATATACATACATATATGTATCATATATACGTATATATATATATATATATATATATATATATATATATATATATATATATGGTATAGATACCTATACATAAGTAGTCTATATATTATCTGAACATTGAGCGTTTTGTATGTCGCAGATAAACGTCGTTTCCCGTCAATGATGAGCATATGCAGTGCGTTACTTATGCCTGCATTGTGATATGGATGTAGTATGCTTGCGCTCTACTGGTTAAAAAACACTGCTGTATGTAGAAATGAGATTCATGTTACAACAGCTACGAGCTAGCTTAAACTTGACAATTACGTTATGTATCGACTCTGTCCAAACCAATCACTCTAGAAGATATCCAACGAAGGATGACACGTTGATAAATACAATAACTAACAGGCGATGCAATATGACACTCTATATCTTCTTTGCAGCATGAGCTTTGGTACCATCTTAGACGGACGTCGAAAAAAGCAAAGACTGTCATCAGATTTATCGAGGAAACATCCAAAAAGATCATCAATACTGAGTCCGCTGTAATACATAGACGTATTTGTATGCACATATATAGTTGTACATATATGATTTAATATGTTTGATAAAATATTGTGCACTATATATATATATATATATATATATATATATATATATATGTTATATATAAATATATAATATTATATATACAAATAAAGAATAGATATACACGCATCTATATATGTATGTATATATATACAAACAAATGCATGTGTGGCACGGCGTACTGAGTATTGATAACCCTGTTGCATTTTTCTCGATAAATCTGATCGCTGCTTTAGCTTTTTTCAATGTTTATTTTAAAATGGCAGCAAAACTTGTGCTGCAAAGAACATATAGTGTCATATTGCATGGCCTGCTAGTTATTATATTTCTCAATGC